GGGGGGGGGTCAGGGGAGAGAGGAGGGAGGGGATGAGTGTTCGTCTCCTGATAAGAGTGTTTGTATTCCACTACTGGGTGAAAAGCAGAGAGAGTGACGGGAAGAGAGGGAGAGAAAAGAGGAAGTAGGACAGTGATTTCTGGAAGATGGTCATCCACTGGTGAGACGGTCAGGGCTCAAACACATTGATATGAAGATGACATTGTTTAAATCCCTCCTTGAGTTCCTCTGTTGGGCACTTGCCTTCACAGAAATGGAGTTTCTCATTGTAGTAGTGATGCTCCAGGGGATTAGCTGGAAGAAAATAATAAAAAGGCCAATTAGAGAGCTGGATTTGGAAGATAGACAGCATATGGAATAACATGGTGGACTGTGGAAAACCCAGAGATAGCCATAGGGTAAGGAAGACATAAAAGCTTCTTAGCTATTCAAAAGTGTACAAATATCAGTGGTTCCCAGTAAAAGGAAAATAAGAAGCCACTAGCAGACTGGTTTAAAGTGATGCATGACATGTTTTGTATATTAATAAGTTACACTTGATGGGGCTTTATGATAAATATTGGAATTGATGAACTAAGTTATCAAAGCGTATAATAGATTTCAGGTAAACGAGCATCAGACATTGTATAGCTCCCGGATTTTCTACAGAAAAACACAGATTTGTTTGTATAACAATTAATTTAGCTGACGCTTTTATCCAAAGCAACTTATAATAAGTGCATTAAACCATGAAAAATCGAACTAAATTACATAACTTTTGATAAGCTAAACCATTGTGCTGTTAGTTTGAGTTGTATTGTTTTGTTTGATTAGGTTTTAAACACCCATTGACTCTCCAGCTAAATAAAAAGAAAATATCTTAAAAAAAGAAAGACCCTAAACATTGTGGTCACGATAAATGATTATGTGATGTGGATAATGAGGAACAGGAAACTAAGCTGCAGCTCAAACATCCCCCTTTAGCTTTGAGAGACCTTGTTGGCAAAGTGCAGCCGGTAACCGTGCCTCGTGGCCGGTGACGGTGTGGTGGCCGGCCGCTGGCAGGCAGAACACCTCCAGGATTAGTAGTATTAATCAGATAAGGGGGTGAGGGGCCAGACAGGCCCAGACATGGGCACCTGCTCT